ACACCTGTGGCTGAAATTTGCTGCATTAGATGAGCTGTAAGTGCTAAATACCTACTGGATTTGAAGACTTTATTTTTTTTTTAATCTTTTGTTTATTTATTTTTGGCTGCACTGCATTTTTGTTGCTGTGCGTGGGCTTTCTCTAGCTGCTGATGGTGGGGGATACTCTCTATTTGCTGTCTTCAGGCTTCTCATTGCAGTGGTTTCTCTTGTTGCAAAGCATGGGGTCTAGGATGCAAGAGTTTCCATAGTTGTGGCTTGAGGACTCAGTTGCCCTGCAGCATGTGGAATCTTCCTTGACCAGGAATTGAACCTGTGTCCCCTGCATTGGCAGGCAGACTCTCAACCACTGGACCACCAGGGAAGTCCGACTTTGTATCTTAAAAATGTAAGGTATCTCATTATTAATCCTTATGTTGATTACATGTTGAATATTTTGGATATATCATATACTCATTGAATAATATTTTGAATATATCAGTTAAAGAAAATATACTATGAAAAGACTTTTCATTTTTACTTTCTTTAATGTGGCTACTAGAAATTTTTAAATTATTTATATATATATATATGTATATATATGTATATAGCTTGCCTTAAGTGCTGGCCTGGACTGGAAAATCTACACACACACAGAGAGATAATAGGCATATACATGCAGAATTCCCTCCACGGCCCCCACCCTCGTGCATAAAATGATTAATGTCCTCCTTCTGCTAGGCTATGATCTTCTTGTGCTTTGAGAATCAATCAAGCCTTTCTTGACTGACCACATCCCATGGCCTAAACCCCAAATACACATATGTGGAAATGAGAGAAACTACTTTCATTTTTTCAAACGGCTTCCCAGGTGGCACAGTGGTACAGAATCCACCTGCCAATGCAGGAGATGCTTAAGACTTGGGTTCGATCCCTGGGTTAGGAGGATCTCCTGGAGTAGGAAACGGCAACCCACTCCAGTATTCTTGCCTGGAGAATCCCATGGACAGAGAAGCCATGGAGTCACAAAGAGTCAGATATGACTGAGCATGCACGCGAGTGAAGGGTCAGTTCTCACTATTGTAAATTGTGTTGGCCTGTCTTACCTCTCCACTTGAGGGAAGCAAGGTTATAGCATCAATTCTCTCTGTACATTCTTTTTTTTTTTTTTTTAAGTTGGAAGCTAATCACTTTACAGTATTGTAGTGGTTTTTGCCATACATTGACATGAATCAGCCATGGATCCACACGTGTTCCCCATCCTGATCCCCCCTTCCGCTCCCCTCCCCATCCCATCCCTCCGGGTCTTGCCAGTGCACCAGCCCTGAGTACTTGTCTCATTCATCCAACCTGAGCTGGTGCCCTCTGTACATTCTTATAGATTCTGCTGCAGAAGTCTTCACTCTTGTTTTCAACTAGTGAGGCCAGTAAGTATTTGGTGACCAGTCACTCTGCCCACACATGCCATCACTACATTTTGTCCTTTCTGAAAAGCATCCCAATTATTTAGCACTTCTCAGTTCCTAAGAATCTAAAACCAGGAGTGTGCTCTCCCTTTATAAAGTCAATAATCTTTTAATGTAGGACATCTTAACGTTGAGCGCAAAAGCACAAGAAAGAGGATGAGCTTGGGGGTGGTGGGAAGAGAAAGTACCTTGGAGGAACTAGGAGCTGGAAGCCTCATTTCCTCCAGGACAGCAATTCCCCAGTTTGGGCCTCTGGTCATTTCCCCCACACACACCCCCCACCCCAGCATTTACCTCATAGGGATACCCTCCCCCATGGCTGGAAGGAAAAAGAGATGTGCCCAAAGTCACCTAGCAACTAGGGCCTAAAGAGATCTCCCACCTCTTCTCCCCTAAACCCTGCCTCTCCTCTCAGATTGAAACCTTCCATCTGGGGACCACAAACTAAACGAAGGATTGAAGACATTTTGCTGCCTGCAGCTGTCTCCTCAATTGCTGACTGAGAGGAGGAGTGAGGGGAGTTCATTATAATTCGCTTTTCTGAATGTTTAATATTTCAATTAATATGATTAGCCCCAAGCCTGAATGAGCAGCAGGGCGGCAGGGCTGCTGACAAGACCCAGAGTAATGAGATCAACAGGGCCTTGGGGTCTTCCTAGGCTCTGTCCTCAGAGGGCGGATCTGTTCAGCATCTCCATAAATACCAAGATCAGATTAGGAGGCCAGGGAAGGAGCAGTGGGGGTGGGGAGGTGAGTGGAAAGTTACTTTCCAGATGTGTTTGCACTCTTGACTCCCTGGCACTGCCATCTCGTATTCTGACCACTCTGGTCAGAATGGTAGTCAGGGGGTCCTCTACCATCTCCCACCACCCACCCACTTTAGAGGACCCTACAGGGAGGACCTGGACATTCATACAATGAAGTATAATTATGTCTATACACACACAAACACTTTCTCTCTCTCTCAAACATACATACCTGGCAGAATGTGACTTCAGGCCACAGGAGGGAAGGGTGGAAGGGGGCTAATGAAGGACTGAGCAGTAGAGGGAAGGATATGTCTCACCCAGGGCTCAGATGAAGACATAAGAGGAAGAGAAGTCAGGCTCAACCACTCCCCACATTCTCACTAGGAGATGTGATAGGGGAGTTAAACCTGTGGATTTGGAACCAGACTGTCTGGCCTCCGCTCTCAGCTAGCTATATCTCTTTCTAATGCACGACCTTAGGCAGTTCATTTAATCTCTCTCTGCCTTGGTTTCCTCATCTTTACTGGAAGATAATGATAGAGCCTACATCATAGGGTGGTGCTGAGGGTTAAACAAGTTAGTCAATATAAAGCACTTGAACAATGCCTAGGACATGAACCAACACCAAGAGCCCTCTAAGTGGTGTTACTACTACTTCCCTTTCCAGAATAGAAGCTGGCGTGCCCAGAGAGCCTAGGAAAAGGGGTGCTGGGATTCAGGTGGGACAGATTTCAGATGTGGAGACAGCAGCCTCATTCTGGGGTGATGAAAGGGTGATGGGAGGCAGGGTGTCCCGCAAAAGCTGTGAGCCCTGGTAAGTGAGCACCAGATGGCGGGCAAGGGCTGCCCCATCCAGGAGGTTTGAGGTCAGCAGATACTCTCTGCATTGAGGAGGAACTGTGAGCAAGCCCAGTGCATGGAGGGGTCAAGCTCCTTCGACATCATCAGGCAAACTGATCATCTACAGGAGGGCTGTTTAGGGGAGTACTGGCCCCCAAGTGTGCTTCTGTGCGACCCGACTCCGTCTCAGAGGAACCTAACTGGGGCAGGGGGAGGAGAAGGAAGGAGTGTTTGGGTCTCCTCTGCACTAAAGGGGAGCTTGACGGTTGTGATGCTGCCCACTGAAGCAATCAGGAATCTACTCTCATCAGAGGTTCCTTGCGTTGACTATTTCTTCAAGAAATATTTGTTACGTTCCTACTATGTGTGAGTAAGACACTGTGCTAGACACTGTGAACAGTAAAATGGGGAATTAAACGGTGTCCTGGTCTTCAAGGAGCCTCCCAGTGAGAAAGCTGTCGCCACCGGCGACACTGTCACACCGGCTGTCACCACCAGCGCCGCCTCTCTGCCCACGCACTTCTCACACACAAACCCCCCAGAGGCAAGAAGGGGGCGTCAGCAGATGCCAGCAAGATCGAGTTTTCCTTGCTTTCTTTTCTGGAAGACACACAATTCCCTCTCTGCACTCTTCTCACCCTGCTCTCTCTTCCACAACCCTGTTTCCATATTTCTCTCTGGGTCCCTTCTGCCCTTTCCCCCAGGCTCCGTGACCTGCTTCCCTCCCCAGCTATACCCTTCTCTTCACCCGCCCCTAACCTGCCCAACTGTCTCCATGCCCTCTTCTTTCCCCTGATTTCTTTCCTTGGCTCCCCACTCTCAGTCTCCCCAGACGCCGGCTCCCCTCTCTTCCTCCCCCTTGCTCGCCTCTCCTGGGTCTTCTCTTCCAGCACCGGGGACAGCTCCAGCCCCCGGAACAATGGACCCCACCTTAGGGCTCCTCTATAAATTCTCCATCTTAGTGCCTTGCCCAACTCGTGATTGGGGAGTAAGATGGGGGAAGGGTTATTATCAACAGGACCAGCTGCTCTTCTGGGAGTGGGAAAGGAGTCAGGGAGGAAGGAGATAGAAAGAGGGCGTGGCTCTTGTCTGGATTGTGCGTCCCTCTCCAGGGTAGAGAATTTGTATCCCACCCCTGAGACTGACATCACTGATGTCAGGGGAAAGGAGGTGGGAGTGGGGAGGGGGGTGTGGAGAGGGGAGGTTTTTGTTGAGGAGAGCGCGGCCGGAGAGCAGAGCTCCGGGACCCAGGTGACCGGGAGAGCAGGCAGCCCCAGCGGCGGGAGCAGCCAGCAGCAGCCCAGGCCCGGGGACCGGGGTGGGGGTGGGAGGGGGGCTGAGGGGAGGACCTGAAGGGGGGCGGCAGGGCCAAAGGGACCCCCGGAGCCCTGCCGCCATCAGAGACCAAGCATCTGGCATCAGGGATCTTCGGACCCAGCAGAAGGACCAGCCACAGGGGAGGTGTCCTCCAGGAAAGCCAAGGAGAACTCCACCTGCCCCACACCAGGAGTGCCCCCCTCCCAGCGCCGCTGGCCACCATACCAAGACCCTCAGCCCTCAGCCCCCTTTCCCGTCACCCTCCTCAGGCCCCCCCTGCCCTCCACCTCCAGCTCCCATCTCAGCCCCCGGTTCCCAGTGACTCTGCTACCACCCCGACCCTCCGGGTCTTGGCCACACTGCCCCCCATCCTGGGATCCCTGCCAGCTCTCCGGGAGGGAGATCATTTGTTTGGGCTATGCCCCCTGGTGGCATGACAGTGTCTGCCTAGACCCCTGACCCCTAGCCTTCAATCCCTGGGCCTCCTTTGTGTGAAGAGCTGCCCCTCTGCTAGCACTGTGGTTGGGGCCACAGGGAAAGCCAGCCCCGGCTGGGCCCCAGCCCCGGCCACTCGCCTCCTTGCTGGGCAGCTCCCCCTGGCCTTCGGGCTCTCCCTGCTCCCCTCGGCCCCTTCTCCTGGGCCGCCCCGATGAAGGAACCGGATGCCATCAAGCTGTTTGTGGGGCAGATCCCGAGGCACCTGGAGGAAAAGGACCTGAAACCCATCTTCGAACAGTTCGGTCGGATCTTCGAGCTGACTGTCATCAAGGACAAGTACACCGGGCTGCACAAGGGTGAGGGGTCAGGCCAGGCTGGAGAGGCTTCAGGGAGTGGGCTGGGGGGCTGGGAGGAGGGGACAGGCCAGGCTGGAGGGCTGGAGTGGCTGGAAAAGGCCGATCTGGAAGGAAAAGAGTTCCTGGGATGGGGAGTGTGGATGGAAGAGCTAGAAGAGAACTCAGCTCGGGTGACCAGGGGACTCCAGGTGGAGGACTCAGGAGAGCCTCATGGAAGGGGAAGAGTTGTCAAGGGGCTGCAGAGGTGTGGCTCCCCGAGTTGAGGCAGATGATGTGGATGTGTACGCAAGGAAGGATGGAGGAACGAAAGAGCTGGTTTGAGAGACAGAAGGTGGGCAGGGGTGTGTGTGGGAGGGAGGTGTCGCGCACAAGATGAGAGTCTTAGTAGCCTCAGATACTACTGGGACAGGGATATGGACCCGGGGTCACGTGCTCAACCTGGAGAGAGTGGATGGATGTTCATGGACTGGGCAGGGCAGCTCCAGAACTAGAGGGGCCTGGAGTGACTGTAGAATGACGGGCTGTTGAAGCTGTGGGAAGTGCAGTGACTGGGAAGTTACGGGAGCTGGGGGGTGAGGAGAGGCCTCAGGGCTGTGCAGCTAAGCAGGGTCAGGCCCACGGTCAGTTAGGTCCGGGGTCAGGCTTTGGAGAGCCCCTGGCGGTGGGGTTCAAAGGGCCACACTGCCTCCCCCTCCACCAGCCCAGGGACTCCTGTGCCCGGCTCTTCCCTTCCTTTTCTAGTCTGCTCTCCACCCTCGGAGGTGGAAAGAAAGGAAGAAACAGGGAAAATGGGAGAGGGGAGGGGTGATGACCAAGATGGAGGGAGGTGGAGGCGAAGGAGGAAGGGGAAAGAAGACCAGCTAAGGAAGAGAGGAAACCACAGACACGTACTTGTGTGGAGATCACATGCCCCTTCTCCTCCCCCCACACAAAGCCCCAGCTTCCGACAGCCCAGGCTTCTCTCTCTTCCATCACCCCACCGTGGAAGACTCCCGGTCTCGGGGTCTCTGCCCTGTGCTCCTCAGCCCAGAGACTCCCGGGGAGAACGTGCACCCCCTCTCAGGCACCTCCCCGCCCCAGCAGGCAGAAGATAGCAAGAAGGGACCAGCTCCCCAGTTCTCAGGCTCAAGGGGGAGGGGAGCTTTGAGGGAGGGGAGATGGGGACTCACGCCCACCCGGCCTCTCTGCCCCTGCCCCTCCTCAGGATGTGCCTTCCTGACATACTGTGCCCGCGATTCAGCCCTGAAGGCCCAGAGCGCCCTGCACGAACAGAAGACGCTTCCAGGGGTGAGTCCCACTCCAGGGCCAGAGGGCTGAGAAGGGCCGTAGAAGGGGCACCACCGTCCCAAGACCCTGAACATATCTTCCACCTCCTCTGGTCACTAGGAGGTCACTTCCTCCCGATAGTTCCCCTCCTCCTTGCTGAAGATGCATGCATTTCTTCTCACTGAGATAGAAGGAAAACAGCGATGAGTGGAGTAAATATAACCTTTGCCAGCGGCAGAGGCAGCCCTTTCCCCACCCACCCACTCACCCCTAGGGCCACATGGAGAAGGAGGACTTGGCTGGCTGGGTGGTGTGGGGAGAAGACTGTGGGCAGCAAGTGCAGGGCAGAGGGGGGCAGGAGGAGCTCTTCCTGGCTCTGGGGAGGAAGTCTGACTGTGAGATGGGGGAAGGGTGCTTGCACCCTGAGATGAGCAGCTGGTGCCTGCTGGATGGGCATCTCTGAGCTGACTTCTGAGGTCGAACAAGCTCACCTCGTGTCTCCCAGGAGAAATCACAGGAACAGTGCCACAGGGCATCGGGGTGGATCAGGGTCTGGTGGGCCTGGGCTGGAAGTAAACCCTGAGGAGGGGGGCAAGGGGCAACAGGCAAGGGCAGGCAGCCATCAGCATGGAGGACCCGGCCTGACCCCACCGAGCGTGCCTAGGGAGGCAGGGTGGCCTCTAATGTGGCCTCCCTCCTGCAAGGTCAGAGCTCTTTGTCTTCCTCTCAGCCATCCTTGCAGCTTGTCCCAGGCCTGGGTGGGGGGAGGGTGAGGACAAGAATAAAGACTCTCAGACTGCCCCCCCAGTTATGCATCCTGGGGGGAAAGGATGTGCCATTTCCTTTCCGTATCTCTCGGCTTCTGTGACCTCCCCTGGAAAGTACCTCTTGAGAGCTAACTCCATCCTTCCCTCCAGCCAATATTTGCTGAACAGTCTTGAGTGCTGGAGACACACCTGTCACATCCCCTTCTCCTTCCCTTGTGTGGGAAATAGAGATGCAGCCTGTTTTTCCAGCTCTTCCAGGGAGGGAAATAGACAAAACAGATGGAAAGAGGGTGGGGGGAATCCAGGAAAACAGAACTGTCCATCACTCCCAACTTCACACCCTCCGTAGCTCAGTGACCCTCTGTGGCCCTCAATCCTCAGTACCACTAGGGAAGCAGATCCACTGCCAGGTCCCCGCCTGCACCCACTACCTTATCCTGGCCACAGCCCATGAAGTGAAGGATCTGGGCATGTGTGAGCAGCCTCGGGTTCTAAGAATCACGTGTGTGTGTGTGTGCACGCTCATTTGTGTGTATCTGTGTGTGCTCGTGTGTATCTGTGTGTCTGTGTGTGCTCATGTGCATGTGTGTCTGTGTGTGTGCTCGTGTGTGCTCATTTATGTGTATCTGTGTGTGCTCATGTGTGTGTATGTGTCTCTGTGTGTGCGTTCATGTGTGTGTGTGCTCACATGTATGTGTGTGTGTGCTCATGTGTGTGTATGTGCTTGTGTGTGTGTGTGTCTGTCTGTCTGTCTTTGGGCACAAGCATCTCCAGGAAGCCTGGTTTCCATCACATGACCTCACGACCCTCCTTTTTCTCTTTCTTCTGTGGAGGCCCCACACAGATCAACAGTTTTCATTTCCATTGCTGTTTCTCTGTCTTTTTCTGTTGTCTCCCATCTCAGCGTTCCTGTGAAAAGAGGAATGGGGAGGAACAAGGGAGGAGGTAGAAAGCAGGGTTGTGGGGTCATGGGTGAGAGAGGTGGCAGGGATGGGCAGGAGCCCCGGGGCCATCTAGGCCAGCAGGGGGCTTCCTCCCTGGCCCTGTCCCCCTCCAGGCACCTGTGTGGCTCAGCATGGCTCCATCCTGGGTATAGAAAGGTGCTGCCTCCTCTTCCTGAGGAAGTAAGGCCTGGGCTCAGAGGTGAGTGAGGAGGGCACCCCAAGTAATAATTGTCCAGCCCTGCCCCAAGCTCCCAGGTGATGCTGAGTTCTCACTCTGGCCCCTGCGCCAGGTGACAGAATCCAGACACCCCAGACAGAGCTTTTAGTAGGAAATGAGGGATTCTGTCCTCCAAGGAGGGCCCATGTAGGCGGGCCCGTGTTGGGGTTTTAGGGGAGCAGACCAGGGCAGTCTAGGGGAGTCAAGCTCGGCCTGACCCTGTGTCCCCCCAGGTCTTTTCTCAGCCACTTGCCTTTCTGGCAGCAGTGTTTTCCTTCAGATGAGTGTGCAAGTGTGTATGTGTGTGTGTGTGTGTATGAGTGTATGTATGTGTTCAGTCTCCAGTTCTGGCACAATTGTGTTGGGAAGTTCCCCCTACTGTCTAATCTCCATGCCTCCTGCTGCAGGTTTTTTCTTCAATGGGGGCATTTACTCTCACTCCTTTCCCCCATCTTTGTCACCCCAGAATCTGGAAGGTGCCACCATATTTGGGTGATGCTTAATGTTGCAGAGAGAAAGAATGGGAGCTGGGCCTATGGCCATGGAACCCCATTTCCTTCTCTCCTTCCTAAGAGTTCCCAGGACAGGCTCTGTCACAGGACCCTGAATTCTCTCTGTGAGCATTCTCCCTGTGGCCTCCTGGAGCTGGTGGCGTGAAGGCCTGCCTTTCCTGCTTTACTTGGGCCAAAATCCCACGGCGGGGACATGAGTCCCCCCTTCACCTTGCCGTTGGGCAGGAGGATTATGGCTCCACGGAGAGGCCCTGTGTGTGATCTGAGACACGGGGCTTGAGTCTGGAGCTGGGAGTGGTAGGGCACCAGGCCTCTGCCTTCAGAAGAATTAGATTTGTGGGCATGGGGAGCTCTTCTTGGAAGTGGGGTCTTTGCTATTGGTGAGAGGACTTACTTACAAGTGACCATGTTGGTGGGGGTCTTATAGATACTTGGTGGGAGAATAAATAGCCCCTTTTTCTCTGGGAGGCCCTGGGGAGGGCTTATCACCTGGCGGGTAGTAGCTAGGGAAGAGAGGCACCCGGCACCTGGTTGCCAGGTAAACAGGGCCCAGCTGGACTCAGGGGAGGGGGCAGGTGTGCCCGAGCTGAGCTAACAAAGGCAGAGCTTCCCACAGGAAGTGCCAGGCCAAGAAGGAGAGGCTGGGAATGGGGCTCTGGGGGCCACCAAGGGAGAAGGCTGTCTGTGGGGGTGTGGGGAGAGCCTGCCGTCAGTGTGGTCTGTGCTGTGGTCTGTGCACTTGTGTGTTTTTGTGCGAATCTATATCAGCTGTGGATATTTATTGATATGCTATTTTTGTGCCTGGGAGCCTTGCAGGGCAGGAACACCATTCTCTCTCTCTGGATCCTAGGTTCCCCATCCCCAACCAGAACAGCAAATCCCCAGGGGCCTGTTGGGAAGGGGTTAGTGCCAAGCCTAAGAATTCCCCAAAGCTGTGACTCCAGTGCTGTGACTCAGGTCCTACTGCTCCTGTAGTGGGGCTTGAGAGGTTGACTGCTGAGATGCCCATGAGGGGACTTCCTGGTCGCTTAGACCAGAGAACAGGAGAGGAGGAGAGTGAAAGAACAAGAGGCCTGAGTGGCTGACTACTACCCCTTGCTGCATGCACACACACACACACACACACACACACACACACGCCCTTGAGGAGATTGAGCCTCCGATGGGATAATCCCAGATTGCTGAAGGATAAAACTGGGGCAGATTGGCCAGAGGATTTGTGTGTCTGTTACTACCCACCCCCACCAGCTGCTCTCAGATCCAGAGACTAGGGGGAGGGGTGAACAGGGAGGAAGCATTGGTTGAGGTGGGGCCTAGATTGGATCTGGAGCTGAGAATACCTCACCTGCAGAGTCCAGCTGGACAGACTGGCATGATCTGCCACCTGGGAACAAGGTGCATGTGAGAAGTAGGCAGGGACAACTATCATTCCTGCACTTCTCTGGGTGATGCGCTGACACATGAAGTCTCAAAGTTAGAATACAAGGACTGAGGGGAACCTGACTCTAGACCGCCAGATCCAGCCCATTTCACAGATGAGGAAGCTGAGGCCTAGAGGAGAGAAATGTCCAAGGTCACCTAGCTCGTGAGTGGCAGGGCCAGTCCTCAAAGTCTATCTAGTGCCTTTCCTGAGTGTAACTTTGGTCCCACCCTTGGAATGTGGATGAATGGTTACTTCTGTTTATTTCTTTGGCCACTAGAACAAGGGCTGTTCCACCAGCAGGTGAGTGGGGTGACCAGGTGTGGCCCCAACAGTCAAAGTCCTCAACAGCAAAATATATTCAGACCTGAAATACTGAGTCCTCTCCTACCTCTCCAGTTCCTAAGATGCTCCCCACCCTGGTGAAGGAAATCAACCTGCAGGAGTCATTCCCAAGTCCTCTCACCAGACAGGAACACAGAGAAGGGAACTGTCTGCATCTCCACTGGAAGCTGAACAAAGGGAGATGCTGCAGAAATAGGGAGAGGGTAGAGTTCAGGAGGACTTCTGGGTACCCAGAGAATCCCAAAGGAGCACGGGACAGCAATTCCTCCCTGAGAGCTGTCTTGACAGTGAGACACCAAGGATTTGATCTGGAAGAGGAAGATAGGAGCTTGGACAGTATGGCTCCTGTAGAGCCTACTCAGCGCCTCCCTCCAGAATCAGGAAGATCTCCTGGGCCCCTCCCCCACCTTTCAGCCCCCACCAAATCCTCCACCCCCAACATACCCTGTTCCCACCCCCCTCCCCACTCCGTCTCCGGGTGTGTGGAGCAGCAGAAGTGATGACGTCACCACGGTCGCCAGGGCGACGGGGACGGATAAATCAGGCTGAGTGGGCGGTTGCCATGGCGCGCATTCTCCCGTTGCCACGGAGACTGGGCATCTGCTCCCTTTGTGCTGCCCGAGTGCCTTCCCCCTGGGGTCAAGGGGTGTAGGGGGCCAGAAAAAGAGGCAGACACACCTCCAGGGGTCAGACGGAAGTCGGAGCATCTGTGGGGTCTCCTTCAGTCTAGAGTCTTCCTTGGGGCTTGCTTGATGGGGTGGCCTCTGCTGCTCCTACTTTGTAGAACTGAGGCAGCCTTGCAGAATAGCCCTTGGTTGGGCTCTATCTCAGGACCCGGGTCCTGTGGGCAGCCCGACTCTCCCCCTAAGGAGAGCAGCATCTCTCCTTGGCCAAATCATCTGGGGCCCAACCTGAGTTTGGAGTCCTGCCCCACGAGCATCCTCCTTCCACATCCTCTCCTTCCTCGACCTCTAGTCCCCTCGCGTCCTGATCCCAAAAAAGATTGAACCCCATCCCTTCCTTCCCACCAACAGTCTAGAGGGCTGGGCCTGGGGCTTACTCCCTCTAGCCTCTCTGCAGGTCCTGGCCTGGGGCGGGCGCCTGGGGCAGTCAGAAGTGGTCCCCAGCAGTTCCTTTCTCTTCTTTCCTTTAGATGAACAGGCCAATCCAGGTCAAGCCAGCCGACAGCGAGAGCCGAGGAGGTAGGTTCTGTACCTTTGGAAACGTGGGCATGAGTCAGGGTGGCCAGAGGGGATGTGATCCAGCCCACTGCTGAGATGGCAAAACTGAGGCCCACAGGGCAGTCCTTCAGAACCGGGGTGTCCTCTCTATGTAACTGTAGCCTACCCCTCAACCATCCCCGTTTCACACTCTAGAGCCATTGGTCCCAGGGCGAGGGGAGTCCCTGGGAAGAGCGCAGGTGAAGGGGAGAAGGGAAGGGGTCTCTGCCTGTCCCAGGCTGCAGCAGGGCAGGGAAAGTGCCCCCAAGGCCCTGAGTCTGCCCCTCCTCCTATGCCCTCCCCGCCAGAAGACCGGAAGCTCTTTGTGGGGATGCTAGGGAAGCAGCAGACAGATGAGGATGTCCGGAAGATGTTCGAGCCTTTCGGGACCATAGACGAGTGCACTGTGCTCCGGGGCCCAGACGGCACCAGCAAAGGTAGCCCGCCGCCGCCTCCCCCTGCCCCGGGCCCGCCGCCGCCTCCCCCTGCCCCCGGGCCCGCCGCCGCCTCCCCCTGCCCCACTGGTCACTGTGCTCGGGGCCCAGACGGCACCAGCAAAGGTAGCCCGCCGCCGCCTCCCCCTGCCCCGGGCCCGCCGCCGCCTCCCCCTGCCCCACTGGTCACTGTGCTCGGGGCCCAGACGGCACCAGCAAAGGTAGCCCGCCGCCGCCTCCCCCTCCCCCTCCCCCACTGGTCACTGTGCTCCGGGGCCCGGACGGCACCAGCAAAGGTAGCCCGCCGCCGCCTCCCCCTGCCCCCGGGCCCGCCGCCGCCTCCCCCCCCCCCCCCGCCCCCCGGGCCCGCCGCCGCCTCCCCCTGCCCCACGGGTCACTGTGCTCCGGGGCCCAGACGGCACCAGCAAAGGTAGCCCGCCGCCGCCCTCCCCTCCGGGCCTGCCGCCCCCTCCCCCACCGGGCCCTCCTCGTCCTGCCCCTCCCCCACTGGTTCCTAGGGCAATGGGGTGCTCCGGGGCCCAGACGGCACCAGCAAAGGTAGCCCGCCGACACCCCTGCCCCACTGGTTCCATGGGCGATGGGGACTATGGGGGCACCCCCCCAGGGTGAGCACTCACCCCTTTCTCCTCCCTCTTGGACTCTTCAGGCTGCGCCTTCGTGAAGTTCCAGACCCACGCGGAGGCCCAAGCGGCCATCAACACCCTTCACAGCAGCCGGACCCTACCGGTAAGTCCCACCACTGCCCTAGCACTCAGGCCTCTTGCAGCCTCACTGGACCCACACCAGACCCTGGCTCAGAGAGGGCAGTCCTTCTGGATAGGATCTTTGAATTTCTTTAAAAAGAATTTTCTAGCAGAAGAATCAAACCTCTTGGGGACAGCTTCCCCTTGGAAAGACCATCTCCCTGCCCCTTGTCCCCATGCCCATCCCCCATCTTCGGTCCAAAAGCCCTTGCCCTCCTCTCCAGCCTCCTCCAGCCCTCAGCCCTCTTCACTTTTCACCTCTTCTCCCTCCTCCCCCCCACATCCCCCTCCCTCACTGGCTGGGCATCAGGACACTTGCTTAGTGGCCCCACGTGCCCTCGGCACCTTCATCCTGCTGCCCCACCCTCTCCCCTCACCTTAGCAGTGGATTAGGGCTCCCCAGCAGAGCAAACCCCTCAAAAGGAACTAGCTAGCTCCTGAGGAAGTTTGGAGTTTGGTTTCCCCAAACTCCATCAGGTTCTCCAGCAAAGGCTGGGCAAGCAGGCACTTAGCAGGCACCTGGGCTAGAGGATACAGCATCAGATAGAGAAATGTGTTCCAGAGCCCAGGATTCTACAAGGATCCTTCAAATGTTCCAGGCTAATTTTTATTTACTAATAGCGTAGACTGGTATTCAATGTCGAGCTGTGTCCCCTGAGGACACCGTGAGGACTGGGACACGGGGGAGCAGCTACAAGGACACGGGGGGTAGCTACAAGGCAAGATGAGCTTGAGATTAAACATTTGCTGTAGCTGATCCACCCTGGGGATGATTTCCTGCTCAGGATCTGCATGCAGAGGCCAGGAGTGCCCTTTGCATTCTGGGAGCATCTTCCCCTTTCCAGCACATGGTTTTGCTGTGTGCTCTTGCACAACCTGTCATGGGGGGAGGGCAGGATGAAAGCCTCCCCATTTGACATCGGCGCTCTGATGGCTGCCCTCCCAAAGAGGCCAAGCCAGGAATGGTGGAACTGAGGCCAGGTCCTAAAGGTTCTGGGGAGGAGAGACGTTGACTCCATCCCTCTCACCACGTGTGGGGCCGTGCTCAGGGTGCCTCATCCAGCCTGGTGGTGAAGTTTGCCGACACGGAGAAGGAGCGCGGTCTCCGCCGAATGCAGCAGGTGGCCACCCAGCTGGGCATGTTCAGCCCCATCGCTCTCCAGTTTGGCGCCTACAGCGCCTACACCCAGGCCGTGAGCATCTCCCTCCGGGGTCCTGCCCCCACCCCCCAGTGCCAAGGCCCAGGGTGGAGAGGGGAGCCGGGCCAGGGTGCAGGGGCCCCACTCGCCTCTCTTCCTCTGTTCCCAGCTGATGCAGCAGCAGGCGGCCCTGGTAGCGGCTCATAGTGCCTACCTCAGCCCCATGGCCACCATGGCTGCCGTGCAGATGCAGCACATGGCCGCCATCAATGCCAACGGCCTCATTGCCACCCCCATCACCCCTTCCTCAGGTAAGGTCCAGGCAGGGCTGGGCTGGGCTGGCGTGCAGGAGGCAGGTCGTGGGAGCTTCCACATGGTGGAGGTGGGGAGGAGGCTCCGGGCATTGCTCAGGGAAGCGTGGGGTCTGGGAGGGGTCAGGGGTCAGACAGTAGCCTGCTTCCTCCCCTCCGCCTCCAGACTTGCTGACCGTTTCTCTGCCTCTGTGTGTGTGTGTTTCTGCTTCTCTGCCCTGTCTCTGCTGCTTTCTCCTCCCCAGGAACCAGCACGCCTCCTGCCATCGCTGCCACACCCGTCTCTGCCATCCCTGCTGCCCTGGGCGTCAACGGCTACAGCCCAGTGCCCACCCAGCCCACCGGGCAGCCTGCCCCTGACGCTCTATATCCCAACGGGGTTCACCCCTACCCAGGTGGGGTTCTCTGCCCGCCCACCCACTGCGCTCCCCAGCAGCCATCCCCCCCACCACTGACTGTAGGCAGTCAGACACCCTTTCCTCTCCCGACTCCGAGGTGACAAGGCGCTTCCTCCTGCTCTGTCACTCGGGGCAGGGATGTTCCTTCCCCGTCTCAGCCAGGGAAGCGGAGGCATAGAGAGGCGAGGCAACTTGTCCAAGGTGGCACAGCCAGCCACGACTCAAGCCTTGCTGATGCCAGGCTCTCCCCTCTGCCCGCGACTCGGTGCATGTCCACCCTGTCGGTTCACCCCCCTGCCCTCCCATGATGTTCTCGTCCCCACCTGCCTGGCCTCGGCTCCCAGAAGCACAGGTGGGGCTCCCCGCTGCCTCTGAGCCCCACTCTCATGGTCGGTTTTGCTCTCCGCAGCCCAGAGCCCCGCGGCCCCCGTGGACCCCCTGCAGCAGGCCTACGCGGGGATGCAGCACTATACAGGTGAGGAGCCCCGGCCTCAGCCAGGGTGGAAGGGTTGGCGAGAGGAAAAGAGGCCTGGGCTTCCTGCTTTCTGCCCGTCACCCCCCCAGACTGACCTCAGGCCAGACCTGCAAGGACACACCTTTATGGGCATGGTCTGAGGCAGCCCTCCTCTGACACCTCTCATCCCTGTCAGCTCCATCAGCCAGGCTATGGGCAGAGGGACAGGGTTGGTTAGGAGGGCCGGGGGCAGGGGCATCTCAGGAACCCCATCAACTCTGTCTGTTCTCCACAACCCCCGCCCCCCAGCAGCTTACCCAGCAGCCTACAGCCTGGTGGCACCTGCGTTCCCGCAGCCTCCTGCTCTGGTGGCCCAGCAGCCCCCGCCACCCCCCCAGCAGCAGCAGCAACAGCAGCAGCAGCAGCAGCAGCAACGGGAAGGTGTGGTGTGGCCTGCTGGGGGGGGTCCCAGCTAAGAGCTTTCAGGGGTGGGGTGCCCTTGTCGTGGGCTCCAAGGCCAGCTCTGGGCCCATGTGTGGGGACGAGAGTGGGCAGGAGACAGATGCGGTGTCTGGCACCCTGGCCTACATGTTGGGGGCTGCCTTCCCCGGCCCCTTGCAGTCTGTCTCCCCATCACTGAGCGCCTCCTTCTGTCTCTGCTGCCACCCAGGCCCTGACGGCTGCAACATCTTCATCTACCACCTGCCCCAGGAGTTCACGGACTCAGAGATCCTCCAGATGTTTGTCCCCTTTGGCCACGTCATCTCAGCCAAAGTCTTTGTTGACAGAGCCACCAATCAGAGCAAGTGTTTTGGTAAGAACACAATGATCCAAAAGAGAAAACAGGGCACATTTTGGCCAGACTCCAGATAAGGACAAGGTCTGATGCATTTGAAGGCACTTAGGGTTGCAATGGGGCTTCCCAGATGGCACTAGTAGTAAAGACTGTGCCTGCCAATGCAAGAGACTGTGAGAGACATGGGTTCGATCCCTGGATGGGAAGATTCCCTTGGAGGAGGGCGTGGCAACCCACTCCAGTATTCTTGACTGAAGAATCCCATGAACAGAGGAGCCTGCCAGGCTACTGTCCATAGGGTCGCACAGACTTGGACACGACTGAGCGACTTAGCATGCACATATGCACATGTGGTTGAAATGGGCCCAGTATTTGAAATCCAGATCATCCAGGAGTCTGAAAGAACCATTTTTTCCACTCCTGATATCCCATAGCAGCTGCTGCCCAGGCCCATCCCTTCTTCCAGAAATCACATCTTTCCTCCTTTAAGAGCTGGTCAAATCCATGCTCCGAGTGGACTGGAAGAGGCTTAGGAGCTGGGGTACTTCAGTTTTCAAAAGGAAGGCTTAGGGAGCAGCGTTTAGTGGTCTTTGTTCTTTGAAAGGCTGCTTCAGGGGAGAAAGGGGACATACGTTGTCCTCTGAGCTTCAGATGTCATTTAGGGTCTGGAGTGGAAGTTTCAAAAGGCAGGTTCTGAGCTATCCAGGCCAAGGAGGGGGCTTCCCTTCAAAGAATGCAGAAAGGAAGGTCCTGGGGTATGCAAGAAGGTGGACTGGACTCATCCACTCAACAACTACTTACTGAAAGCCTCCGGTGTGCCAGGCAGTTTCTGGGCATTTGGGAGACATGAAAAAAGTAGCGTGATTACAGGAAAGCAAAGAGTAGGCCTTGGCCTCAGCTCAGGGGAGTGAGGGGGGCTGGGCCAGGCCTTATGACCCTCTCACCTTAGGCTTTGTGAGTTTCGACAATCCGGCCAGCGCCCAGGCTGCCATCCAGGCCATGAACGGTTTCCAGATTGGCATGAAGCGCCTCAAAGTCCAGTTAAAGCGGCCTAAGGATGCTAATCGGCCCTACTGAGGGCACCCAGGTGGGTCCCGCTCCCGTCCTGTCAGCTCTCTAGCCCCTCACACTGCAGCCAGGGCCCCCACCCCTTTTCCCACCCCCCTCAGGGATGCCCACCCCTGACTCTGGGCACTCAGGGACCTGGAGCAGCTTCCTCAGCTGTTTTCAATCACCCAGGTCTCTCTCTTTCACTTTCTCTTTCACACACACACACACACGCACACACACACACACACACACACACACACACACACTGTGACCCCAGAGAGAGCCAAGTCTGTATCTATCCGTGTCCACTCCCTAGAGCTTCCCCAGTATCTGGTCTCGTTTGTCTGGTCAGTGTCCATGTGTCTATGTGTCTCTCTTTCTGATTTTCCTTTGGGATGGAGTAGAATTAGGGGAGTAGGGTTTGGGGACTAGGGGGACTGGTTTAGGGTACTGGAGGGTCCTAGAATCACTGGCTCCTAGAATATCTGTTGTCCTGAGAAGTGGGGACATCAGGTCCTGGTGCCCTGGACCCCAAGTGGTAGCTGTAGACCCATGGGACAGGGGAGAGTGACAGAACAGATTGGGGGGAAGTCTGAGTGTCAGGCCTCTGGGGAGTACCTTTGGTTCAGGTGAGGTGGCTGGAATGCTGGACTGCCTGTGAATTTTACATAACAGGCCCCCTCCTTCCCATTGCCTGCCACCACCCCAACCTCATGGCCACAAAGCTGTGAGCTTTGGTTACTTTTGTGTTGTTTAATCTCTTTTGGACCAAACCCCTGAAAAAAACACAACCCAAGAACAATACCCACATTTTCTGTTTTTCCCCCTTTCCCCCCAATCCTGGCTGCTTAACTCCCCCCCACCCTGGGGGCCCCCCAGCCCAGGGCCCGTGTCCATTGTCGGCCGAAGCCCCCATCCCCGGACCCCTGCTCCGGGCCCCTGTAAGTTGCATGGAACGAGCGTGTTGTCTTTGGAGCCGATTGTTTGTTATTTGGGGAGGGGGCCGCGGAGGGAAGCGCCCCCCAGCCCAGGGTCAGGGCCGGGGGCAGCTCGCGGGACGTGCTTGGTCAACAGTGGTTGGTGACTGTGGTCTGTGTTCCGTGCATTTCTCTCTGGCTTTCTTTGTTCCTTTTCAAAAAGGAATGAGAGCACCCCCTAGGGGCTGGGGCGGGTCTCACCCCACGAGACCCCAGCCCCGGCTCCACCCCGGCCTGCTCTGCCGCCCTTTTGCAGACGCCTCTTGCTCTTTTCCAGGTGTCTGTCCCCGAACCTCACCCTCCTTCCTCTGAGTCCCCTCTGCCTGCCTGTGTGTCACCTCGTGTCTCTGCCTCTCCTCCTCGAGTCCCTGTCTCCACACCCTCCAGTCTTTCTTCTCACGGGCTGTTTGAGTATTTCCTTCCTAACATCCTTTGGTTTCCGGAATCATCCGCCCCACCCCTCCCGTCTCCTCTCCTCCACCCTGGTCCCTTGTCGAAAGGCTGGGGGGCCAGATGGTTCAGTTGGGCCCGAGGCCTTCCTGATGACCTGCCTTCCTCAGCGCCCCCGGCTCCCTCTGACCCCAAGGCCTGTGAGCTGCACCCGCTGCCATCTTCCCCCAAGCCTCACCTGTGTTTCCTTCCTTCACAGGTCTGGAGACACCAGAGAAAGGGGCGCCTCACCCCTCTCCCCACGGCTGGCCCCGGCCCCCTCTGCACATCCGCCCTGGGCCTTGTCTGGGCTCTGGGGCAAACGCTGCTTCGTGGCCCTGGGGGCACAGGACACCGGCCCACTCCCATCACCCCGCCTCCCCCAAAGGGCCTTTTCCTGCCAGGTGCCCTTTTGGCCTTTTGTGAGGGAGCATGACCAGGCTCGAAGGCTCGGGGGTATCTGCCTTCTGCTGAGGCTCCTGTGACGGGCCTCCTGTGCCCAGCTTTCGCACCTGCCTCCCCCACCCGTGGGCCTCATCTACCTGTGTGGCCCGGGAGGGCAGCAGGGGCTGCCGACACGCTCCCCACCCACCTCACCCCAGCCTCTTCCCCACATTAGGGGTTTCTCAGAAGCTGGTTCTCACACTCCCTGCCACCCTCAGCTCGAGGTAGGACAACCCTTAACCCTGGGCTCCCAGCCCTAAAACACTGCCTCCCCTGAGGGCCCCCTCTAAGGAGGGTGTGGGGGAGCCCTGAGGGCTGCCTCTTTGCCAGTCAGCCACAGAGACCCTCCTCCTTTCATGAGGAAAAGACCTCCCCTAAACCCCTAAAAATGTTTACAGTCTCTGCTGGTCCCCTCCGTGTAAATACCACTACCACCCGTGCGTTATCCAGCCCGGCCCAGCCCGGACGCTGCCATCTCTCTTTCTGGGAGTTTAGACAATATTTCCCTTGGATTTTTTCTCTCTCTTGATTTCTCCCTTTGCTTTGAGGGGTAACTGGGTATTTGGGAGGACGGGTGCGGGGTGGGCTAAAAGGGTTTATTACCTGATCATTTTCTTTAGAAAGAGGTTTTAGGGAAAAGAAATGGGGTGGGGGTGGGAGTGGTAAGGGGAGAGTGGGGAGTCAGTTTCAGACACTTCTCTATGCTTAACTTATTTATTTATTGCATTTTACTTTTAAAGAGTTGGTCTTTTCTGTCTAAATAAAGAAAAAAAGTTTAAAAGCTTCAAATAGGTGTCTTGGAAGGATGGCAGTAGGGGTTGTGGTGCCCACGGGGGATGGGGAGAGAAGGAGGTAAGGAAAGTGAGGTTGGGGAGAGAAAACTCCAAGAGGAAGGCCCAGACTTCCTCACAGGAAGTCCTTTGAGCACAGTCTAGGCCTTGATCATGGCTTCATGTCTTATTCCTCTGCCCTTCTTTTGGGCTTAATTCTGGAGTGCTCTACAGAGCAGGCACAGGAGGGAGAAAGCAGGTCAGCAGGCCTCTTCCCCATAGCCAGCCCTGTCCATCTGAAGGCTGCGGACACGCGGCCTCACACGTCAGACCTCCACTTGCCCCTCGTTCACATGGGGGAGCTGGCCCAGCACCCAGCCAGCGGCGATGCTGGGAGCGGAGTGTACCACCGCCGTCTATAAAGCAATTGCTCTGTACCTACCTGGTTCTCTTCCAGGCCCTTAATGTGCATTTCCTCATTTCAGCAACCTTATGTTGTTGTTGCTCAGTTGCTCAGTTGTGTCCAACTCTTTGCTACCCCATAGACTGCAGCACACCAGGCTTTCCTGTCCTTCACTATCTCCTGGAGTTTGGTCAGCTCAAACTCATGTCCACTGAATCGCTGACATGAGGCAGGATATAATTTTACAGACAGGGAAATGGAGGATGTGGAGGTGAGCTCACTTACCCAGCATCACAGAGTGACGAAGGGATGGTGCAGGAATGGAACCCAGGCCCCAAAGCCCATGATGCACTTGTCTCACAGCTTCAACTACCTGTCTGTGACCTGAGGCAAAGATCCCAAGAAGTACCTAGCAGGCCAGAGCAGTGACTCCTATCAAGCAGAAAGTGGATACATTAGCCCTCGGTCTCTCAGTTTTCTAGATTCCACTCGGTAAACTGCTTTTCTGCTGGGGTTCACACAGATGTTGTCTTTAACTTCACAACATATGGGCCATTTGCTTCTAGGCAGCTACCTGCAACCTCACCCTCATGACATTCTACCTATAAACTTGCTCACTTTCCAGTCTAGATCGGCCTCAGGCCAGAGCTGTTCTGTGAGAAGACAAGGATGAGTGAATCCCCACAACTCACCCCCCACTTACGCCCCATACTTCTGCCTTTTCTTCAACTGCCCCAAACTAAGGAGAGACAGAAAGAGAAGTAACATGTGTGGCGCTGGAGGGACTATCTGTGGACATTGTTTCAAGAAAAAAAACATATCTCTTGGCTTGGTAAGACATCAGGAATGGGACTTACTCAGGATTCTGAGCCAAGTCTGCAGCATATGAAATCTCAAACAGAGACATGGGTGTGTGTGTGTGTGTGTGTGTGTGTGGTCAGAGATGGGATGAGGTGTGCACAGTGTGTGTGTGTGTGTGTGTGTGTGTGTGTGTGTGTGTGGTCAGAGATGGGATGAGGTGTGCACAGTGTGTGTGTGTGTGTGTGTGTGTGTGGTCAGAGATGGGATGAGGTGTGCACAGTGTGTGTGTGTGTCTGTGGTCAGAGATGGGATGAGGTGTGCACAGTGTGTGTGTGTGTGTGTGTGTGTGTGTGGTCAGAGATGGGATGAGGTGTGCACAGTGTGTGTGTGTGTGTGTGTGTGTGTGTGTGTGTGGTCAGAGATGGGATGAGGTGTGCACAAGGAGGAAGGTCACCAGAATTGGAATTAACACTGTGAATTTTCCCCTGAGCTGCTCACTGTGGCTTTGCAACAATTTCTGGGTCAGGACAGAAAGATAGAAGGTTGGGTTTAAACCAAAAGTCACCTCCAGAGTGATTTACTGACAGCTGGGATCTCCTGAGATGTGGGGATTGGGGGGACTAGGAAGGCTTCCCCTTCCTGGCATCTTTCCCTTCACACAAACAGGGAAGACATTGTCACTGCTTGCTGCTGTCCCGCCTCCCTCAAGGCTGCAGCCAGTTTTTCTCCAGAGAAGCATTAGGCAAGTCAGGTTGAATGATGGGGATGAAGAAGACACAGCATTCTTCTGAGGAATCAGAACAACATCTGGGCAAAGATTCTCCAGGCCCTTTGATAGCAAAACGAAGGCAGCCACCTGAGACAGAAAAGGGGGCTCCTAACTTGTATGAACACAGATTTTTCAGACATCATACTGCTTCAAACATAGCAGGAAAGGTATAAAGGAGAGGTAGTTCTGTTAGCTAATGAAGTTCACTAACCTCTCTTCTGAGCAGAAGAGGCCTCAGTAATAAAATGCATAAGAAATAGGAAATGACAACAGGATCACTTACCTTCAAGTCAAACAAGAGGAAACAGCATTAGTTTCTTCTAAAATAATCAAGTTACTGTTCAAATGTTTATGGAAGCATGAAGAGAAGAGAGAAGGAAAATAAGGCAGAAGAGTGGAGCGGACAGGTTAATAGGGATTGGGGGAAGCCTTCT